CACCCTGTTGGAGACCCCTGATCTAGACAAGGCAAGGAAGTCTCAAGACCGGCAGAGACGAAACCAGGATGAGACCATTGGTTTACGCTGCCAGTGAAGGACCAGCGGCTCCTTCGTCCACGATCAGACCTCGGCAACACACTAGTAGGACAAAGGGGTACATTTCGCTTGGCGAGAAGACAGGGTGGAGACAAGACAAAGACCACACAGAGAACCATTAGCCCAAAAGCCCCCCCAACACACACTTCAAAGAGAAGAAGTTCACCACAAAACACACACTTCCAATCCTCTTTAGTCTCTGATCACATAAAGCAGATCTGCAAACAAGAATATGCTTTCCACCGGAGAGGGGGAGAACTAGAAGAGGAACCTGTTGCAGAGGGCCGTGCTAGACAGGAGGGCAAAAGCGTGTCAGTTGGAGAAAGGACAATTTCCCCCGTGGGTCTCACTGGCAGGTGGCATCCTGCTGTGCACGAAGAAGAGGAGGAGGAGGAGACTGGATTCATACCCCGCCCTTCACTACCCGAAGGAGTCTCAGAGCGGCTCACAAACTCCTTCCCCTTCCCCTCCCCACAACAGACACCCTGCGACTGCAATGTTCCCTCTAAGCTGGGGAGTCTTGTAAGCAAAAATTCTACTTTGTGAGCTACTGGCGTTAAACTTGTGAGCGAGCCATTTGGCTACTGCATAAATTAGTTTGCTCTGGAGCCCGCCTTCCTGAGCTGAGACCAAAATGTGTGAGTCGGAGGCTAAAAAACTGTGAGCTAGCTCACACTAACTCAGCTTAGAGGGAACACTGCCTGTGAGGTAGGTGGGGCTGAGAGAGCTCTTTCGGGGACTGCCCTCGAGAGAACAGCTCTGAGAGAACTTGTGACTGACCCAAGGTCACACCAGCAGCTGCGAGTGGAGGAGTGGGGGAATCAAACCCGGTTCTCCCAGATTAGAGTCTGCACATTTAACCACTACACCAAACTGGGGAAGACACAAGGGGGAAAAGGAGACAAATCCCTGTTAGTTTCTAGTTTTGCCCTCGTTTCCCTCCAGTTCTTCAAAAGAACTCTTATGTTGGAAGGCGGACTGAAAATAAGGCCTCTTCAACAATAAGCAATACGATTCTAGGAGGCGGCATGGAAGATTTCGCCTTTTTGGCCTCACTGGCTCCCCATCTTTCAGGCTTCACACAATTCTGCGTGAAACAGAAGTTTCAGAGAATTTCCGTCTCTGAAGAGGCCACCATTTGGGACACATGGTGCGCCAATCTAGTCTGGTTTTGTTTTTAAGAGCCATCCAGGTCACACCTTTTGCGTGGCATCTCACAGCACTACTAGCAATTTTCTGTTTACCTCCACTTCAGGAAACGGCATTGTGCCAAGACAAAGTTGTTTTCAAGTTCTGGACTGCGGGGGCCTGCATGGATGGAAATACAAGCCTGTCTGTACACAAGCCCCGGTCCAGGAAAAAAATGACCTTAAGTTATACGAATGGATTATCTGGCAACATTTCCGTTTCGGGAACAAACATGTCCGTTGGTAACTCCACAAGGAAGAAGTTTGTCCGCAATGCTTGTACACTTTTAAATGCTATTATGTGATCAGAGAGTGTTGTGCTTACCACCCAGATATTCCCAGCCACAGAGGGAATGCAGGATTCCTGGAAAGAATCAGGGTTGCAATGAATTAAGGCAGGGGTCATTTCGTAGAAAAAGAGGAGCAGGAGCTCATTAACATAACTCATTAGCATAGCTCATTAGCATATGCCACACCCCCTGACATCACCGGAAGTGTGTCAGAAGGCAACACCCACTGCTCAGACTCCACTGGACTGTTTTGGATTGCTAGCTATTTGGGGGGGGGGAGTGCAGATCTGTCCTTGCAGAGGAGGGAGAGCTTGTACCTGAATAAAACTTGGTCTTACAGGTGCCACTGGACTGTTTTGGACTGGGGGGCCGGGGGGGGGGGCTCTGCAGCTTACCTGGCTGCTTCTTCCTCTGACTGAGGGCTGCTGGGAGCAGGGGGTGGGGCTTGTTGCATGTGCCCACCCCCTGGGCTCTTTACTGCCGGAGCTCCGCTCCTGCGCGCTCCTGCAGGAAATGACCCCTGAATTAAGGACTCAACTCTACTGGGCCATGTTAAGTATTTTTACAGGGAGGCAGCCGATATACAGGGCATCAGGAACAGGAAGCAATTTGCCACTGGAATATGAGTTCAAGGGGGGGGGGGAGGAGTCATGTGCAGTGTTGCACAGATAAACACTGTTCTTTTCTTTCTGCCATCACCCAAGGTGAGCTCTCTTGCAGTTTGACATCTTTACTCCTTATCCAGTAAGGCCCAGAGCCAAGATGGGCTCACTTGGCAAGTTTCAGACGGCTGTTGTGTTGGTCACAGAATCACAGAGTCGGAAGGGATCTCCAGGGTCATCTAGTCCAACCCCCAGCACAATGCAGGAGATTCACAAATACCTCCCCACACACAGAGACACCCCAGTGACCGCTGTTCCATGCCCAGAAGAGGACAAAAAACCTTCAGGATCCCCAGCCAAACTGGTCTGGAGAAAAGAAGAAGAAGAAGAAGAGGAGATTGGATTTATATCCCGCCCTTTACTACCCAAAGGTGCCTCAGAGCGGTTTACAAACTCCTTTCCCTTCCCCTCCCCACAACAGACACCCTGTGAGGTAGGTGGGGCTGAGAGAACTCTGACAGAAACTGCTCTTTTTCAAGAACAGCTCTTATCAGAACTATGGCTTGCCCAAGGTCATCCAGCAGGTGCAAGTGGAGGAGTGGGGAATCAAACCCAGTTCTCCCAGATTAGAGTCCGCGCACTTAACCACTACACCAAACTGCTTCCTGACCCCAAAGTGGTGATCAGCACTTCCCTGGGCGTGTAAGAAAGGGCCACGAGAACTAAGCACTGAGGCAACCCTTCCTGCCTTCCCTTCTCGTGATCTGCCTCAGTTCACAGAATCAGCATTGCTGTCAGATGGTCATCTAGCCTCTGTTTGAAAACCTCCAAAGGAGGAATGCCCACCGCCTCCCCAGGAAGCCTGTTCCACCAAGGAACCACTCTGTCAGGAAGTTCTTCCTCATGTTTAGCCAAAAACTCTTTCTGATTTAATTTCAACCCGTTGGTTCTGATCCAACATTCTGGGGCAATGGTCGGCAGTAGTCAAGTCATTTCGAGTCCAACATCCCTTCGGAGACCAGCAAGATCTTTGTTGGAGCTGAAGGGAGCTTTGACTCTCAAAAACTCATAACCCTCAAAAAAAAAAATCTGTTGGCCTCTAAGGAGCTACTGGATTTGAATCCAACTGCTCCCTTGGCAAGGAAACCACCAAGCTCATAATTATTCCAGGCTCCATAGCTGCATCCTGCATCTTCAAAGTAAGTTAATACTGAGCTGCTCATCTGCTTTGAAACTGGTAACACCCAGCAATACAGAGCCGGCACCCGTTACATTCTAGAGCAGGGGTGTCAAACATGCAGCCCGGGGGCCAGATCAGGCCCCCGGAAGGCTTCTCTCAGGCCCACAGTGGAACTGGCTGTCTTCTGCTTCTGCTTCCAGTTCTGCTGCTGCTGCGTCATCGTAGGTTTGCAGCTTACAGATACACACCTGAACAGCATACTCAAGACGGCAACAGCGCAGACATATTTGATGCAATCATTCAGAGCAAGAGGTGTCAGTTATCAGACACTGTTCAATAAACAAAATATTGCAAGAGTGCTGATGTTTTAAGCATGTTTTTATTTTAAGTAAAACAAACCCCTTTGTGTTTGTGTCCTTTATAAAGTTTATAACTCTGCTACCTGGCATTACCTTTTATGACACATGTGGCCTGGCCCGACAAGGTCTCATTCACGTCAGATCCGGCCCTCATAAGAAATGAGTTCGACACCCCTGTTCTAGAGGAACACCAAATGTGTTCCTCACCAGCTACGTCATCCTCAGACTGAAGCGTCTTGCGCAATTTGCATTCGATCCCAAAGCTTGAAGCGTCTAGAGCGTTTGGAAGGTCACTTGGTACCAGGGAAATTCTGAACATGATAATGCCACAGGAAGTTCACGGCACGACGCTTACGTAATTCATGCTGAATAAACTCAAAAATCATTTGACCAGTTTGAAAACAAAACGCACACACACACTGCGGTCAACTTACCATCCAAACAATAAATCACAAAAGCCATTAACTGAATTTACGCCAGGGAGGGAGGCGCATGCCAGTTCCAAAGACTATTTGCGGGCGATGGAATTAAATTCTAAAGCACGGTAATCCATTACTTTTGGAACCAACAAAGCTGCACAAATACGAGTGCATGAGAGCAGTACTGAAGAGCTCCGACAGGTTTTAAGTTCAAAACCCCGGCAACAGAGCAGACACAGCTACGTGAGTTTCTGGCTCTATAATCAAGACACACCCAGAACCATGCTGGCTAAAAAACAGTTCTTTAATGCCATAGTGGTAATACAGGCCACGGGATATTTCCTTCTCAGAAAGGAACTCCAACATGGCCTGGGAAGTCTATAGCTGACTTTGCTATTAAACAGCAGCATGCTGTGAATTTTAACAACCCGGCCAGCACCTTGTGCAAGGGCATTCTCCTGATATTTAGCCGGTATCGACTCCCTTGTAATTCCCACCCATTAGATCTAGCCTTGCAATCCGGAGCAAGAGAGAATAGATCCGCTCCATCTTCTGCATGACAGCCCTTCAAATACTTGAAGACTGCAATCATGTCCCCTCTAAGCCTTCTCTTTTCCAGGCTAAACAGACCCAACTCTTTCCGCCTTTCCTCGGAAGACTTGGATTCCAACCCTCTCGCCATCCTGGTTGCCCTCTTCTGGACACGCTCGAGCTTGTCGACATCCTTCCTAAAATGTGGTGCCCAAAACTGGACACGGGACTCCAGGTGAGGCCTGACCAGAGCAGAACAGAGAGGAAGTACCACCTCCCGTGATCTGGACACGAGGCTTCTGTGAATGCATCCCAAGAACCCAAGAACATTACCTCATGTCTCCCAGTTTCCGGCTGATGACGGAACCCACGTTGGAAAGGGCGGCTGAAGTCTTCTGGCCCGCTTGCGACAGCGTCTCCTGCGTCTTCTTGTAGCTGGGCAAGAAAAACAAGGGCTTGTTAACAGCTGGAAACCGTAATTACAGGAGGGAGGGGGAAGGGGTTCAAGCAGCAAGGGGGGGAGGGAAAGCAGCTAGAAAGGGACACCCCAAGTGGGAAAGAGACAACACCGAAGCCTCCTGCCTTGTGTGGCAACCCTTTCTGCACAGAGAGAGAGGCTCAAAAGTATGCACCTGCAGCAAAAAGAGGTGCACGCGTAGCCCTGCCAGGGGTGCCAGCGCACTGAAGATGCATTTGCTGCACATGTTATAAAGAGACTTTACGGAGTCCTCCCTTTTGAAACTTTTATTTAACAGAGGAGGACTATTATCAGGGGTCGTTTCGTACAAAAAGAGCTAGGGGAACTCATTAGCATAACTCATTAGCATATGCCACACCCCCTGACATCACCGGAAGTGTGTCATAAGGCCACACCCCCTGACATCACCGGAAGTGTGTCATAAGGCCACACACCCTGCCCTCAACGGTCCCGGCGGGAGCAATGTTCCCTCTAAGCTGTGGAGTCTTGCGAGCAAAAATCCTACTTTGTGAGCTACTGGCATTAAAGTTGTGAGCGAGCCATTTGGCTGCTGCATAAACTAGTTTGCTCTGGAGCCATCCTTTCTGAGCTAGGACAAAAATGTGTGAGCCGGAGGCTAAAAAACTGTGAGCTAGCTCACACTAACTCAGCTTAGAGAGAACATTGGGCGGGAGTGCAAGGAAGCCCCACGAAAGCCCTCCCTGGCCTCCCTCGTCTCCTGCCTCCTCCTGGCTGAATGAGGGCCAGAAGCGGGGCGGCCGGAAGCGGGGGGCGGGGCTTCATCATGTGCCCCGCCCCCCATACCTCACCCGGGAGAACTGCAATCCCCCGCGATCCCCCCCGAAATGACCTCTATTATTAATTATAAGGTTGTACAATAGCTTTTGAGATTCTTGGAGATGATATTTGATATTTTCGATATCTCTTATATTGTGAATTGTGATTAAGATGATTAATTATATATGTAGAAATTATTGTAAATTTTTTTTCCGAAAAATATAAAATTATTTATGATACGTTATAAATCATCTGTGCACGGTACTTGTTGTATGTTGGCGGCTCTGGAAGCAGCCACAGAGTCTGAGCCCACTTCGGTTAGCGAGCCGAAAAGGGCCCAGAGAGTCACTCTGGCTAGTCTTTTAAGGCCATCGCAAGTTGTTTGAAAACAGCATTAAGGCTGTGTTTGCCTTGGCTTCCACACCTTCCCGACCAGCTGTTGATCTTTCCTCTCTTCAGGCCTGAGATCAAAAAGAGATTATGCCGGTTCCACCGGGGATTTTCGGCTCTGCAGAAGGCTACGCCCTTTCTTCTTGCACCTTGCAAAAGCAGGTCTTTCCTGCCTCCAGGAAACCCCTAAAATAAACTTTCCAGAACTCAGAACAAAGCTTTTGGGGGGGTGGGCGGGAAGGAGGCACGGGGAGAAATGCAAACGCTAGCTAACGGGTGAGATTAAGTTAACCCAGAGAAGAGCCAGCATGGCTTCTGCTATTTAAGGAGGAGGCTATGTCCCATCAGTTACCAATAACCCCTGCTCAACCAGGACCTGCTTGTTTTTAAAAGGACAGAAGCAAATCACTGTGTGTGCGTTATATGCAAGTTAACACACACAATTTAAAATAATAGAATCATAGAGTTGAAAGGGACCTCCAGGGTCAGCTAGTCCAACCCCCTACACAATGCAGGAGACTCACAAATACCTCCCCCACACACACCGCCAGTGACCCCTGTTCCATGCCCAGAAGATGACCAAAAAACCTCCAGGATCCCAGGCCAAATTGGCCAGGAGAAAAAATTGCTTCAGTGTTCCCTCTAAGATGAGTTAGTGTGAGCTAGCTCACAGTTTTTTAGCCTCCAGCTCACAGATTTTTGTCTTTGCTCAGGAAGGATGGCTCCAGAGCAAAATAATTTATGCAGCAGCCAAATCGCTCGCTCACAGCTTTAATGCCAGTTGCTCACAAAGTAGAAGTTTTGCACACAAGCCTCCACAGCTTAGAGGGAACATTGTTCTGACCCCAAAGTGGTGATCGGCATTTCCCTGGGCGTGTAAGAAAGGGCCACGGGAACTAAGCCCTGAGGCGACCCTTCCTGCCCTCCCTTCTCGTGATCTGCCCCAGTTCACAGAATCAGCAGTGCTGTCCGATGGCCACTGAGCCTCTGCTTGGAAACCTCCAAAGGAGGAGAGCCCACCGCCTCCCACGGACGCCTGCTCCACCGAGGGACCGCTCTACCAGTCAGGAAGTTCTTCCTCGTGTTCAGACGAAAAGTCTGTTACTTAATTCCAACTGGCTGGTTCTGGTCCGACCTTCTGGGGCAACAGAAAACAACGCCGCAACCCTACGAATGAGTGACCTCCAAAATGTCCTCTCATTAACAGCCTTGCTCGGCTCTCGCAAACTGAGGGGCGTGGCTTCCTTTACACAGTCCACCCATCTCATGTTGGGTCTTATTTCCCCCCCCCCTGCAAGTCATTTCACTAGGATTTAAATTCCTGGACTTCCGCACCGCCAACCCAGTGGCTCAGATGGCGGGGTCTACTGTCTAGACCTGACCACGGTATTCCAAGCTATACTGTACGAGTACTCTCATGCCCAGAATACCACGGAGAGGGTGAGATTCAAAGATATAATTAAAGCTTGAGCACCTTCGGATCTCGCCCACTCTTTAACATCCTTTGGATGTAAATAGCAAGTCCGGTAAATAGTCTGAATCTAAAGCGGAAGCAAAATGCAGAGTTGACTTATGACGACTAATGATCTATCTGGAGATCCAAGCCTTACGAGGAAAGGTTGGGGGACTTGGGAATGTTCAGTGTGGAGAAGAGGAGGTTGAGGGGGGGACAGAAAATCATTTACTGTAGTAATTCCGTAGAAAGTCCTCTTCTCCTATCGCTCGCACGCTAACGAATGCTGCGCAATGTAAACAGTTCGTTTCACAATATTTGCTTTATCTGAGCGTGCGGCAATCCCGATTCTTATCGATGACTACTGATCAACTCTTGAAGGAAATCTTCCATGTCGACGCTCTAATAACAGAACCCGGCTGGATCTTAGGAAAAACGTTTTGACAGTCATAGAGTCGTGCAGCAGTGGAACCAGCTGCCTGGGGAGGGGGTGAGTTCCCCCTCCCTGGCTGTCTTGAAGCAGCGGTTGGACGAACACTTGTCAGGGATGCTCTAGGCCAGTGGTGGCGAACCTATGGCACGGGTGCCAGAGGTGGCACTCAGAGCTCTCTCTGTGGGCACACGTGCCATCGCCCCAACCAGGCCCAAATGCTTTCATTTACTTAAAATTATTTGGCAGAGAATTCGACACTTTAAAATTGTTTACTGTAGTAATTCTGTAGAAAGTCCTCTTCTCCTACTGCTCGCACGCTAACGAATGCTGCGCAATGTAAACAGTTCGTTTCACAATATTTGCTTTATCTGAGCGTGCGGCAATCCCGATTCTTATCGATGACTACTGATCAACTCTTGAAGGAAATCTTCCATGTCGACGCTCTAATAACAGAACCCGGCTGGATCTTAGGAAAAACGTTTTGACAGTCATAGAGTTATGCAGCAGTGGAACCAGCTGCCTGGGGAGGTGGTGAGCTCCCCCTCCCTGGCGGTCTTCAAGCAATAGCTGGACAAACACTTGTCAGGGATGCTCTAGGTTAACTCTGCACTGAGCAGGGGTTTGGACTAGATGGCCTGTATGGCCTCTATCCAGTCCCCAAGTAAGGTTGCCAACTCCAGGCTGGGAAATCCCTGCAAGATCTGCAGGCCCCACCTGGTGGTTGGCAACGCAATCCCCAGCAGTGCTTTTCACCCGTTTCCCGAGTTTCAGCGCAGCGGCCCGCCCAGTAACCATCTCCACAATCACGAACGCTGTCTTCTTTTGACACAGAGGCGCTCAGGTGTTCGGAAGCCCAGGGCTGCCGCTACCTGGTCGTCCTTCCCCGTGTTGTAAGGATATCTCAGGGGCCGGATGACTACAAGCCAGACCCCTCACCATCTTTGCTGCCCTCCTCTGGACACGTTCCAGCTTATCTATATCCTTCTTAAACTGTGGTGTCCAAAACTTCCCCATCCTAATAATTCTGCATCTGATTTTTCCTACCTAAATGCAGAACTTGACATTTATCCCCATTGAAATCCATTTTATTGGTTGCACCCAGTTTTCCAGCCTGTCGAGATCATCCTGTATCCTGACTCTGCCTTCTACCGTATTCGCTACCCCTCCCAATTTAGCTGGGAATGGATTTGCGTGTCGTGAACAGAGGCACTCGGCAGCTCCGGAAGCCTTCCAGGGTGGCTCCGACAACTGCATCCAGAATGACTTCCTGCTATAGTTCTCAAGCAACCAACGAGTGCAAAACTTCCGGCTCTGCCAGGATATACCCACAAGACATGGACCAAGTCCTACAAAGTTACTATACGGAACAGCGGGGGTGAAAAGGTCATTTGCTTGAGCAGGGGAAGCAGTAAAGCTTACCGTTCTAGCCAGTTCTAAGCAAAGTACCCCTTCCTTTAGATTCTGAACTGCCACAAGACAGACAGCTCGTATTTCAATGAGAGGGTGGATTTCAGAAGCCAATCTGGGAAGGCCTCAGTAAGGGCTGGGGGGAAAAGCTGTCCCGTCCCAGAATACCACTTCCCTCTCCTTCTAGCAGCAAGTATTACAAATCCAGAGGCACTTTCTGGGGCATATCAGCAAAAAAGACCAACACAGAGAAGTTTGGCAGCTTTAAAATCATCTGTCATAAATGACTCCAAGTAATTTGAGAGCCAGTTTGGTGTAGTGGTTAAGTGTGCGGACTCTAATCTGGGAGAACCGGGTTTGATTCCCCACTCCTCCACTCGCACCTGGCTGGATGATCTTGGGCAAGCCATAGTTCTGATAAGAGCTGATCTTGAAAAAGAGCAGTTTCTGTCAGAGCTCTCTCGGCCCCGCCTGCCTCACAGGGTGTCTGTTGTGGG